GAAAAATATACAGATAATTGTGAATTGCAAAAAGAAATAAGTGTGAATCATTGTGAAAAAGTCAAAACAACACAACACAAAGAGAAACAAAGAGAGAAACAACACTCATTACACTTAGATATTTTTATTGTATATTCTATTAAGTGTAAAGTATGTAATTCAAATTATGTATCTGCTTGTTTAGAAGAATCTTTGTAAACACATAATCTTTGTATTGTAACCCTGATTGAATTTCTTGAGGGACTAGGTATAACATGTAGCATTGAGAAGTCATTGACAATTTATCTTTGAGATTGTATTCCTTGAGGGACTAAGTCTAGTACCTAACCTTGAGAAGTCATTGACAAATGGTATTTGAGCGTAATCTGATTGATTAGTGGATTAAGTCCTTATTGAGAAGGAAAACTCACTTTGACGAGTGGACTGGATTAACTTTGTTAACAATGAACCAGTATAAAAATCCTAAGTATTTTTTATCATTGTTGAGTTTTCTCTTAGGGCTGCAAAAAGTTATCACATTAAAAACCCAATTCAAACCCCAATTTTTTGTGTTTTATTGAACCTTTACATGTGTGGGTATCTATCAATGTCTTTATATCATAAGTGTGTTTGTGGCCCACTTCAGAGCATAGAACTAAAAAACCACATTTAGCTTTGCATTCTACCCTTACTCTATAACTCTCATTTTTCCCAAAGGTAATTTTCCTACCTCTTAATACTGAACACTCACAAATTGCATCTCTAAAATAAACTTGAGAATTAAATTCCACACCCCACTTAAACTGGTAGTCCTTATTAAGCTGATTTTTCCTAAACTTTTCAAACTTAGGCCCTTTACCTTTATCATCATCAGATTCATATGGGTCTGAGTTGTCCAGTTCATCACTAACATATTCATCATCTTTAATTTTCTTTTGGAACTACAAATTAACCCTGCAACTAAGTTAGATTCATTTAGGGGTAAATTAATACTACTACAAAAAACACATTTCACCTCGAACGCAAAATGCATCAAACTTTGGCTACAAAAGTGAGGTAACGAAGAGTGTCATGAAAAGTTTCCACTTTACCCCTCGGTTTATAAAACACCAAGGGAAAGGTTATTTGCACATGGGTTCGAACCCCAACATCTGCACTTTTATTATTTTAAAAACTAGCTCACCATACCTCTCGATTTATCAATAAAACTGTGGGGTAAGATATATTGTTTTTTAAAAAAAAAACTCGTTGCAAACTACAAAATATTAATAAATTAATTGTTTATGCATAATATTACATTTTTTACATAAAATATTTATGTATAAAGATATAACAAATTTTGAATCCAATTCATTGTCATCACTGTTAGTGAAGATCCGATGTTGGATCCTCATTTCATTGAAATCTTAGGGAAGAGAAAATGTTGGGTGAAATATATTCCAGATGCCTTTTGCATTCATTTGTTTATGATGTAAGACAAAAAAAAAGAGTTAGTTAAATAAAATAAATATATGATTATAATATATGATTATTTAATAACACAAACCTTAAACCTAATTTATTTTTTGCTCTTGCAATCTATCGTAGAGAACTTTACCAAGTTTTTTATGCTTCAAATTTTTCATGTTATATGTTTCAATAACAATTATTGATATTCAAAATGCTTTTATAATGGATGTCTGTTAATTTCACACGAACCACTAATGGAAGTGTTATGAGCGTTGATACTCATGAAATGGATGAAAACGATATGTTTAAGGATGGTGATCAATATCCCAAATAATCATGCCAAATTATCCACTCGATTTGACAAAAATTGAGGTGAATAAGCTTTTTTAAAACATTAAATTATTTACATGGAATATTAAAATTCATCATCGTTACTATTATTCCATATTTTGTTGCATATCTTGAATCAAGAATGAGCTTCTAATCTTTTCAAAGGTTGAACTCCTTTCTTTGGTTAACTTGAATCAATAATGAATTTCTTCACTTGCAATCCATCATAGAGAACTTTTCCAACCTTCTTTAACTTAAAGAAAAGATTTCATTATCTTGAGCAAATGCTTTCATAAGAAAGAGAATAAAATATACAGTGGTGGATGTAGATAGTTTGTTATGGATTGATGTATTAGCAATATCTTGAGTGTTGTTCCTTTATGAATGTAGGGTAGAGATTCATCATTGTAGTTGTGTAACATATCCCCTCAGTTTTGTCAAAAAATCGAGGGGAAAAGTATTTTCTTTTTTAAATAGAAAAATAAAATAAAATAATTAAACCCCTCAGTTTTAGAAAAAAATCGAGGAAATAAATTTGAAGCAAATAATGCTAAATGATAAAGAATTGAAAGTAACACGTCATGTTTCTATTTCAATTTTATACCAGTCACCATATTTTGTGTGCAATTTACAACATGTTCAGGAATAAATGTCTCAATATTGTCAACTGAGGAAAACAATTATTTTCCTTAATTGACAACATTAGATGGTTATTTCAAAAATACAACAACATCAACATCAACATCATTATGTGAGATAGATTGCAAAGACAAAAATATTTTATTCAAGATAGAAGAATAGAGAATATTAAAGATTCTTTCTGTCTTGCAACACATCCCATAGAATGATACATACGAGTTTGGGGAGACTACATATAAGTTAGATTTAGGATCAAATATGTTTAATGAGTGCTTTTATTGTAAAATCTGATTATTTTATCTGTCAGTTAATAAGAAAACCGAAGGGATAAATTATTTAGTTTATACTTATAAAGAAATAAAAATATAAACTGCAATAGTTGAGATTCGAAGTGTGTCGTGAATTGTTTTTCCCCTAGGTTATATTTAAAACCGAGAGAATATATGGTTTTTATTTTTTTAAATAAAACATGGTATGCCTTGGTATTATACCTCAGTTTTTTGTTGACTGGGGTGAAAGCTTTGTCATGAAATGTATTATTCATAGTAGTGTAACATCAAATCCATTTGTAATAGTAGTAGTTCTCTCATTCTCAGTGTCATCAAAGACTTCAACACCCTCATCATCAATTGCTTCTATATCTGACATCTCATTAATGAACTGAGTTGCCCTTACTTTCATTTTTATATCATTCACTTCATGTTCCAGATAAATGTCGCCATCAACTTGACTTGAACAATCATATGTTACAAAATCATATGCATCATCATTCTTTCTTAACTAAATCTTTTTAATTTATTTCAACAATTTTAGTCAAAACCTTATAAATTACTTCTTTATAACCCCACCCCTTCACCAAGTTATAAATTTCAAACATAGTTGATTTCTCAATGTTTTGCCCATAAGCTATGGTTTGAATTCCACCTCTGTAGAATAATTCGTTCTCGTTATCCATTACAAATTCATCTCCATGGTGAAAATCAAAATTAAAGAGTCTCATGTCCTGTCAAAGAAATTGACATATTAAACATTACAACATTAGCACATTAAAATCACTACAAAAACAAAGTTCAAAAAACCTAAACTTAAACATTGGAAAAGGACGACTTCAACCCTTTTGCTTCAGTTAAAGCTTCGATCGAAGCTCCAATGGTGTATTCCTTCTTTGTGCTTCTTCTTTGTTCTTCATTTGTTCGTCATCTTCATTCTCCAATGGTGTTTGTTATCTTCGTTTGACGATTGGGAAAACAGTGGAAACCCTACTTTTTATGGGGGATAAACCATAATGTTTCAGTATTTATTGACATGTCAAATTAAATTAATTAAAATAATTTAAAAAATGCCACCTAGACTAAATATACAAAATCTTTAACATTACAAGGGGAGAATTAAAATAAAAAAATTTAGGGAGGGGGGAGGGGAGTGCGGTAAATGAAAACTCGCTCAGATTACATGGGGAAGTATATTTAACCTAAATTTCAATATCTCAATAATAGAAAATATTTCATATCTCAATAACAACAACAACAAACATATCATTTATCTCAACAAAACAACTAAAATAAAAGCTTCATTAACATTCTCAACAACAACAAATAAACCTTTAGGATTTAGACAATAAACATCAACAACAACGTAAACCTAACATATCTCAACAACATTATTGTTACATGCATGATATAGATATTTTACGTACCAGAAACATGATGAAGAAGTCAAAGAGCTAAATATCATATGCGTTTCCTCTTTCCATCTTGTAAATTTCGTTCGTGTTCCCCCTTCAAGTTGTTTTCTTCGTATTTCATTGTTTTATACGAGCTAAAGAAAATTTGATAGAGTTCGACCATGTTTATCGAAGAACTAGTTGGGAGAAGATATGATGGTAAAGAAAAGAAGATGATACAATGGTGAACGAGTTGGGGACGATAAGCGTTTATGACTCTCTTTGTTAATGGAAATTATAAATATGTTAGGGTTCAAAGTGATTTCCGTAACGCTTAATGTGATTTTCGTATGAGAAGGGAAATTAAAGAGACATGATAAGGTAAACTTTATTTCTTAAATAAGGTTTATTAAATAAGGGTAAACTATTTCACCGCGGTCAACTGTAGTAAAATTTTATTTATTTGTCGGGGTTAATATTCAAATCCAAGAACATTACAATATTTTTTTACGATTGATATATTCAATGTGGTAAAATATAAATTATTTTTAATTTAAAAAAAATAAAGTTGCTTGATTAAAATGTTACAATGGTATTTCACCTGTAATAATAATGAGGTCGTAGTATCAATTATTTGTAATTGTGATTATGCATCCTTATTCAAATAAATATTTGAGAGTACAAATTTATTAAAAAGAAATTCTTTGAATACCATTGAAAAACAACTTACAAGTTGCACGTCAACTATCAAGTCATAATTGCTCAACGATTTAGTTTCTAGCTAGTAAGAAAATAATTTTGTTTTTCTCTTGGTTATAAATATGAAAGAAGTTGCATTATATTTTTCCATTCATATACTACTATACCTATTTCTTTTTAGATTCCACTTTGCTTTATTACTATATATATTTTCTTCAAACTTTACATCTTTTTCTCTCCAATGGATGAGATAGGAAGCATACTCCACTTTCTTCAAAACAAGACCATTTTAGTTATTGGTGCCACTGGTTTTCTTGCAAAAAGTATATATAATATATATGTTCTCTCTTTCATCTCTTCCTTTGATTCTAATATGCTCATATTTCTTATACATCATGATTCTGTACATTTTACAGTATTTTTGGAGAAGGTATTGAGAGTTCAACCAAATGTTAAAAAGCTTTTTCTTCTTTTAAGAGCTTCTGATGACAAATCTGCAGCTTCTCGTTTGCAGAATGAGGTAAAAGAATGCATATTTGTAATTGAGTTTAATCACTATAGTCTTATCAAATTAAAATTTATTTTAGTATTATGATGTTATGTTTTCTTTAGCGGTAATGTTTATTTATTAATATAAATAAATTATTGTTATTGTAAATTAATACTATTTAACAAATATAATATTTATTAATATTACTTCTTATATCAAATTGAATAAGTAGTACTATCATGCAACATGTTCGAACTCTTACGGTAAAAATCAAATATTATTATATATAAAAAATTTCGTCACACAACTATCCTTGATTTAATCTTTTTCACGGACTCTGGGTATTTAAAGTGTCACATTTAAACTGCTTATGGAAAAGTGATTTCAGATTAATTTGAAAAATCTGCCACTTGTGAAATTTTCACACTTTGCAACAAGTTTTCTTAAAGATATTTTATGGTGTAGAATAAATTACTTATAAAGATTCAAAATTTTATGACAAGAGGGACCGCAATAAAACACAATTCCCTAACGTTATTAATAAGGCAATCGAAGAAAAAAAATGTTTGGCCTTTATTTATAGATCCAACGTTTGATCTAACAAGATCCAACAAGGAGACTATTTTTTAAAATAATTATTAATTTGTAAATACCAACACTTAATTTATATTAATACATAAATATTTCTTACTATTATATTTTTTTGAGCAAAAAATATTTTTTACTATTATATTTATGTCTATGATTTTTAATTTTCTCTAAATTATTAATTATTTAGGCACACACCTTTTTCTTCAATTTTACAAATTAATTAAGCCTGTCACTGAAAGGGGAGGTACGAGTGTTGGTGGGTATACCCTTATACACTTATATAATAGTTAATAAAAAATTATTTATTTCAAATAATATAATGTATTTATAAATAGTATTCACACTTGTTTTATATATATATATATATAGAAAGTAAACGAACAATAAATTATACCACTATTATTGTTTTTATAATAAAATTAATTATTTTAAAAATTATATTCATAAATTTATGAGATTCGACATTATTATTTATTAATTAAAATAGTATTTTTTGTTATAAATATATTATAAAAAATTAGATATAAAATCACATGGTATGTCAATATTTTTTTTAAATTTTATTTGAGATGATTGTGAGTTTTTATTTTGAAAATTGTTAGAATATTTATTTACATGAATACATATCAAAGTAGGAAAAAATACATAAAATTTTAGTTCATGTAATTCAACTACGTTTGTGACAAGCACTTATAATTTATCTTATTTATTCATTTTAAGTTACACATATTAGAATTTCTTTGTTACAAACATATATATAAAAATACTAATAATCTAAATTACAAAATAAAAATGATTAAAAAAATATGGTGGAGGGTAGCCCGTTCTGGATAGGGCACTATATATATATATATATATATATATATATATATATATATATATATATATATATATATATATATATATATATATATATATATATATATATATATATATATATATATATATATATATATATATATATATATATATATATATATATATATATATATATATATATATATATATATATATATATATATATATATATATATATATATATATATATATATATATATATATATATATATATATATATATATATATATAAGTGATGTATATTTATGCTTTAAAAATGAATGGTAGGTATATTATGCTACAAATCAATAAATTAATATGATACGTTCCTAATTTAAATTTTCTGACTCGGTTCCAAATGAATACATGATTAATATATTTTTTTTTTTGTTATTTTAGATATTAGCGAAGGACTTGTTTAATTCACTAAAAGAAAAATTGGGTACAAATTTCAAGTCCTTTATTTCTGAAAAGTTGACTATGGTGGCTGGAGATATCGCTTGTGAAGACTTGGGTTTGAAGGATTCCATTTTAAGAAGAGATATTTTGTCTCAAACAGATGTTATTATTAATCTGGCTGCAACTACTAAGTTTAATGAAAGGTACATTAAAGTTTATTAACTTATTTTTTATAAAATCATATATATTTTACAATTTTGTTTATTAATTATTATTATTAATATTATTATTTATATGATATATAATACAGGTATGATATAGCATTGGATCTAAATACATTTGGAGTTAAGCATGTAATTAGCTTTGCCAAAGAATGTATAAAACTTAAAGTGCTTGTTCATGTATCAACAGGTTAATTAGTATATTAATTGATTAGTTAATATAAATATGAATTAATATTCAGTATGTTTTAGCATATAGTATGATAAGATTAATAATTGAATAATTTTTCAGCTTATGTATGTGGTGAAGGAAATGGGTTGATTCTAGAAAGTCCCTATGTTTTTGGTGATTCACTAAATGGTGTTGCTGGATTAGATGTTAATGCAGAAAAGAAATTAATAACAGAAAAGTTAGGTGAGTTAGAAGAAAAAGGAGCCACTGAACGTGAAATTAAAGTGGCCATGAGAGACTTAGGTATTACAAGGTTTGTTAATATCTCTACACCAACTTATATTTCAACTTTATTTTATGTCTTTTAATTTTCCACAAGATCGTCGTCAAGATTTGCACGTCACATATTACTAGAATTTAATGCATATAGCCCAGACACTTCATATTGCCGTCCTATAAAACTCCATTATTATGTAATAAAAATATCCCAATTAATTTTAAAATATCTTAGGAATTTGTCTATTTTTATGTAATAAAAATTATATTAAATAGAAGGCGAATTACATACGGTCACACTATTATTTTTTTCTAAAAAAAATCTTAGATAAAAACAAACATGACAACTTAACTAGTATTATAAATAACAAATCATGATTTTTTATTAATTAAAAAATTTAAAAAAATATTTTCTCTCTCATTTATTATCATAATTATTTATAAGTATTCAAAACCGAATCAACTCAATAGAAAATCGTAAATGGAAATTGCAAAAAAAATGTGTTTGATTCATATTTTAATAAAATTGTAAAGTTTGATTTGATTTACAGTTTGTATTTTGCAAACCGAAACAAACTAAATTATATTATAACTTAAATTTTACTTAACTCACATCTATCCCAAATATAAACATATTATATCTTAACCTTACGATTACACTTAGAGTTTTAGTTTCAATCTTCTCAAATATCTCCTAACATTATCACGTCTTTTTCACCATATATATCTTTCATTTTCTTCTCTAATCTCTACTTTATTATATTCTTTCTTTTTCACCTTCTCATTTTTATGCAACTGTTTCCCCTTCTAAATTCATTTTTATCACACATATTCTTCTCTAATCTCTCATCGCTTACGTTTTTTTTTTTCATCTTCATTAATCTCACATCTCTTCTATTTTTTATTTTATTATAATATTTTTTATATTGTTTTATGCTATTATTTATGTTTATTATTCCACTTTTGTCTTATCTAATTTTTACATATTAAATAGAAAATTGTTGTCCAAATATAACGAGTTTGGTTGTTATTTTGTAGTGTATGAGTGACTAAATACAAAGTTATGTTGTCATCTATATATATATATGTATGGTTGAATAAAATATTTATAAAAAAATCCAACCGAACCAAACCCTATTGGTTTGATTTGGTTTGATTTTTCTAAAAATCAATCGACTAAAATCAAACCGCACATTTTTTTTCTTATAGTTCAGATGACTATTAGTGTCAAAACCGTCTAAATTGCACTAAGAACACCCCTACAATCATTCCATCATTCATATTAAAAAATAAATTAAACTAAAATAAAATTAAAATTAAAATTTTTATTTAAGTAAGTTTTTAGTAGGTATTTCTCTTTTTTTTAATGACTAAACCATCCTATTTAAAATTACATCCATATCTCTCGGCAGTGGCAGAAATTTTAGATAATTTAGGTAAAAATTTTAACATTTAGGTAAAAATTTTAACTGCTAGCATAATATATAAATAGTCATAAAATATGTTAATTTTATCTTTATTTTTATTAATTTTTCCTTTAATTTTATCTACAAATTGACTATTAAGTTGAAGAACAATAAAGAGAATAGGAGCTAAACCCAAGCGCTGTGTCTGGATTCACTGGAGCATAGAATCTTCCCAGTGTTTTGGAGACACAATATTACCATGTGCATGTTATTTGGAGAAATATTTAATCAAGATGTCAAAAATGTGAAAATATATTAATTGTCATAAGACGTATTTACACGTTAAACTATTTTATTTCAAATGATTTTAGAGGTTACTGAATCACATCAAAACATTCACTTTTGAGTCTCTTAAATGAAAAACTCGAGTCAAATACACATTTGTAAGCTTTCTTCTATCCAACTATACATTTAAATATTTGTCGGCTTTAGTGTCGATCTTCTTCTCTGTTGTAGATCAATCAAAAAATTCATAAACTTTTAATTAAAATCTTAAAACTCCTTACATTAAAATACGTGTTTCCAAAATATATTCAAATATGTCTTGCGACCAATAGGAACCTCGTCAATTGCAAAAGAGAATCATAAACTCCTTTTTAAAAAAAATTAATAATAATTATATGTGAATGAATTTCAGGGCAAAAGTGTATGGCTGGCCAAACACATATGTATTCACCAAAGCAATTGGGGAGATGTTTGTCGAAAAATCGAAAGGAAATTTATCTGTTGTCATTTTACGACCAGCCATTGTGACAAGTACACTGAAAGAACCTTTCCCTGGTTGGGTCGAGGGTGTCAGGTAAAATATCAACACTTCAATTCAACTACCTTAAACATATAAAATCTCAAAGTGAAAATGTTTGCTGATAAATCATATTTTTCTTACAGAACCATAGACAGTTTAGGTGTTGCTTATGGAAAAGGAAAACTAACATGTTTCCTTGGAGGTCTCGAATGTGTTGTCGACGCAGTATGTTCTAGTCCTTTAACCCTTAAATCCGATATTGTATTTTTTCTTTCTAATGATTTTTCTTTGGAATACAGATACCAGCAGACATGGTGGTGAATGCAATGCTAGTAGCTATGGTGGCTCATGCAAATCAACCTAGTGATGATATCATTTACCACGTAGGTTCCTCCGTTAGGAATCCAATGAGATACCTTAATCTAAAGGATTATGGATTCAGATATTTCACAGCCAATCCATGGATAAACAAAGACGGAACACCTGTTAAGGTTGGAAAAATAACTGTATTAACCGACATGGATAGTTTCCAACGATACGTCTTCATTCGCTACCTTCTCCCATTACAGGTTCTTATTTATATATTTTTCACACATTATAAAGACTAATTTAATGGTTACATTATAAATAATTTTTAACAATCTTTTGCATTTTTTATTATAGGGACTGAAACTGGTGAATACAGCATTTTGCCAGTATTTTCAAGGAACTTATGTTGAGCTTAACAGGAAGATTCAAGGAGTGATGCAGTTGGTGGAGCTTTATAGACCTTACTTATTCTTCAAGGGCATGTAAGAGTTAATTAATATATAAAATATTGTTATTCAAGTTGTGATGATAAAAATTAAGTTAATTATGATGTTGTTGTAAATTTTTTTATGGCACACAGATTTGATGATATAAACACAGAAAAGTTGCGGTTGGCAGCAAGAGAAAGTGGGACAGAGACAGATTTATTTTACTTCGACCCCAAAGATATTGATTGGGAAGATTACTTTATGAACACACATCTCCCTGGTATTGTCAAGTACATTTTCAAGTGACACACCAACATTTGGTTCAATTCAATTTTATTTTAGAAAGACAAGACAAAACTGCATAACATTATTGTGTGTGTATTCATCAAAACAGTTATGTTGCTCAAGGGATGTGTAATTGATATTAACTAGTTTTCAAATAAGTTTGAAATTTTAATTGATAGTGTTGCCAAATATCATCAGATAATTATTCTACAACTTATTTCTCACACTATTGCATACTCAGATTTTTTATAAATAAAATTATTCAATATTTTTAATAGGGTCAATACTTAATTTTTTTAACAAAAACAAAACAAAAACAATTTATTTATTCATAGCCAAACAAATGTATTGGTTGGGAGCATGTGCCTTCAATGTCTTCTTAATAGTTTCATTCATGGATGCCATTTATCCCAAATCGAAGTGAGACTCATGCGTTATTCATATAAAAGTCTATTGAGATATCATATTTTTTTAGACCACGATTTTACGACGTAGAATAGTTTCCGCTATAAATTCCATAAATTATAAATTATTACATTTATTTAAAATGAGTCAAACTATTTTAAGTTATTTTATCTTTTTTTATTATATTTTATGTGTTTTTTAATTTAATAGTTCGACGCACAACGTATTTGACTCACCCGAGAAACTAATAATAATAAAATAGTTTATTATTAGACAAAAAGTGAACATGGAGAAACATGATATCATCTATTAGGTCTCTTGATAATTTGTAGACATCATATTACATATGATTCACAACAAGGTCCAAGAAGCTAGGTCGTTGGAGACCAAACGAATGAATTCAAGTTACAACTTTTCATGTCTACCATATAGGAAATTTGAGAGGATCAAATGTCGATCATACATTGTTACTCAAATCCTACTAATCAATACAAAGATGAGGCCTTGCACTATCCAATTGATTCTTATATTGTTAGTGCGTGAGACATTTTTAGTGAGGAGAGAAAGAGAGAATAATAAAGGAAATAAGGATTCTATTATTCACTTAATAAATTATACTAAATAAAGATATATACTATGACTATTTATATACAATTCTAATTGGGTTTGGGCTAACACAACTTGGATTATATTTAAATATTAAATCTAATCAAATCTAATATAATCTATTTTAATATTTCAACACACCCTCATAATCCAAGTTGTCGAACCTACGCTAGTCATAGTCGATCTGAACTATTCATAATTTCTTTCTCAAATTCAGGAATCTTTCGATCTTCAATCTTTTGGTGAAAAAGTCGGCCAATTGTGCTTCACTTGAGCAATGCCTAACTTCAAATTCACCTCGATTTACCTTTTTCGTCAAGAAGTGAAACCTAGCTTCGATATGTTTACTTCTTTCATGCAGAATTGAATTCTTCGCCAGATTTATGGCTGACTTGTTATCGATTTGCAACACTAGAGGTTTCTTTACTTCAACCTCCATTTCTTCCAGTACATATTTGATCCAAATTGCTTGATATGCAGCGTAGGATTCTGCTATATATTCAGCATCACATGATGACAATAACACCACAAGTTACTTTTTCAAACACAATGAGATTGGTGCACCAAATACTTGAAAGAAATATCCAGTTGTGATTCTTTGATCTTCCTTATCTCCACACCAATCAGTATCTGAAAAGAAATTAACCATTACTTCTTTGTCTTCAGAATCTCGTCGAAATAGTATTCCATAGTTTATCGAAACCTTCAAATATCTCAGGATTCTTCTTGCAGCCTTCATGTAAGTTCTCTAGTTTTAGGATTGGCATTAATTTTTGTAAAACAAATAAGACAACGATATGTTAGATAGAAGGTGTTAACTTGCTAACGGGAACATGTTGAGTAAGAAGTCTTATCTTATGTTAAGACATGTTGAGATGAAAAGTTCTCATCATCTGGTACAATATGTTGTATAAAATGTCCTATGAAGGAGTATACGACATCGCTTTAGTTGAGCTAGATAGTTAGATTCTGTTATGATTTAACTGATGCAGAATATTCTGGGAATATTATGAAATCCTATGTGCTATTGTTTTATAGGTCAAGAAGAATTGAGTTAGAATATTGAAGATTATACAGTTTCTAAATATGGAGATATTTTAGGAAACTAATTATTGAATACCTTGTTTGTAGCAGAAGTTTATGCTGATTTGTAATAGCTGATATATTGTGATTGAAGGTCCAAATCCAGTTGGGAATAGGTTATAAATAGAATAATTTGTAACCTAGTTATGTACGGGTTCAAGACAGAGAAGTCTAGGGCTTTGTCATTGTCGCCACTCTCTAGGAGAGTCAGTTTAAGTGAATCACTCGGGTTGTGAGATGGTCATTGTGTTCTCACTCAAAAGATGTAAAGTAATGAGTTGGGTATTATTCTTGGAGGAAGCTTTTAAGCAACTCCAAGTTATGTTCTTAGTTAGGAGTAAAGTTGTAAATGGTGGAGTTTAACTTTAGGTCTTGACTAGGTATTGTCATGGAAGTGTGTCTTCTATTTTGCTTTCATGGAAGTGTGTCATCCTGTGTTGTTGTCCAATCACTGTCTGTGATTGATGAGGGATTGAGAAGGGCCTCATACCTAGGTGAGTCTGAGGTAGAAATATAGCACGGGTAGTGATAAAGTGAGAAGTTGTAAACATGAAAGTTTAGCTTCAAATTGATACTATCATAGTGGATTTATCCCTGGCTTGGTATGCCCCCAGAGTAGGAGAGTTTCCCCAAGCTGGGTTAACAATCTTTGTGTGTTGTTTATTGCTTTTCAGTATTGTTTCAATATGTTTATACCTTACCTGCTTGTTTATGTTCAGATCAGATGTCTCGACATCATATAGGACACCTGAGGTCTGTTATACTAGAATTTCACTTCATATGTGACACTCTTAGTTCACTCATATATCTGCTTACTAATCCTATAGCTGATAAGTGTAAATTGTAGCTATTTTTGTATATACTTTTTGTTGCGCTTATCGACTTTTTGTTTGTTAATATTGTTGAATAATCCTGACTTTTGTGTAAATTCGTTTAGTTCATGTTTAATTATGTTTTTGTGTATATAGTGTACCGTTTGATGTTTTTCTATTCATTTTATAGGTATTGATGCATATTTGGAGCATGAGCAATAAAGTGTCGAATACACGGCTTCAAACGCGAGATTTTGAGCAACTCATCAACAAATAAGGCTCAAAATCAAAAAATAAAAATCATAAATTTGGTTTATATTTTGTCATTGTTAGAAAGAGTATTGAATAATCTTTCCAACGCTTCGAACCAGGCGCGAATCAGAGTTACGGTTCAAAAGTTATGGCCGAAATAGTGCAGAATATTGTGCTGATTTTTCAACCTTCTGTCATCCGTCGTCGGGCGAAACTTTTGGTCGCCAGGCAACGCTAGGCGAGCTGTAGCATGGGAAAAACGTTGTTTTGGTCGCCGGGCGACGCTTTTTGTTCGCCAGGCGATGCTGGACAGTCAGAAATGCGTATTTAGGTGCAAAAACATATTTTTTAGGTTATGTTTTGGGTATTTTTGGTCCCAATTCATCTAACCTCCATATTTGGTCTTGAGAAGCTATAAAATAACATTGGAGCTTGCATCTTGATGATCCGGAGTCAGATTTCTCATCAATCGATACTGACAATCTGTGAGATGTTTGGTTTTTCTCCATTTCTTCTTTATGTATTTCTCTATTTGTTGGGTATGTTTGTATATTTACTTTGAATATATGTATATTTGTTGATCTTGGTATTGTATAAATCTTGCTTTACAAATCAATCTTGATGTCTTCTTTGATCTTTTTGCTTTATGTTTGGATTTGAGTTGTTATAGACATATACTTCACAAATCTTGATTAAGGATGGATATATATTAGTTTCTAGATTTTAGAGATAGATTTAGAGCTAATATTCACTTTGGGTGTTAAAGCTTAATGCCTCCGTTTTGTTGTAGCGTGCAAGACATTGTCGATAGAGTAATACGGTTGGTCTCGCAACTTGGCGTTAGACATAACCTTGGTTGTGGGTACATCTCGTGATGTCCGTGATGATTTTGACGAGTACAGTAGGTTGAGTGCAACTGATCAATAGGTTTAAGTTTGTGACGAGTAGTGTAAATTCCTGCCTGTTAGGTTTCTCCTTTCTATTTAATGTATTTATTTTCTTGTCAATAGTTTTTACCCTTTCCTTACAAACAAACCCATTTAAAACCAAACTCATAAACGTGAGAATTTTTCGAACGACAATTCAATAACCAATCTTTGTGAACATGATAAATTCCCAGATAAATAGTTCTAAAACTTTTGTTGCTTGCTGCTATACCAATTCAACAATAGCAAAACCTATATCAGGTTGATTGTTACACACATATCTCAGAGATCCCACGATTTGCTTGAACAATGTTACATCGACTTTATCTTCCTCCCCATTCTTCTCCAACTTCACATTTGGTTTGACGGGTGAGGATGTATGATTCGAATCATCCATTCTGAATCTCTTGAGTATCTCTTTGACATACTTTCTTTGATGTAGAACCATACCTTTCTTCAACATTTGAAATTCCATGCCTCAGAGATAAGATGATTTTCCCAAATCCAACATTTCAAATTCCTTTTATCATCAGCTCTTTGAATTTCGACAAGTTCTCCAAACAGTTTCCAGTTACTAGCAAGTCATCGACATATAAGAAGATGATTATTATATCTTGTGCTACAGCCTAAATATAGACATCATACTCAGATTTGCATTTGACAAATCCCAATTCGACTAAGTATGACTTGATATTATTGTTCCATGTTCTACGTGCCTGCTTGAGGCCATAGAGCGCTTTGTACAACTTATAAACTTTACTCGCTTCCTTCTGAATCACAAACCCTGGAGGTTCTGTGACATAGACCTTTTCATCTAAAGCACCATTCAGAAATGCTGATTTCATATCTAAATGAAATGTCGACCAGCCTTGATTGCATGCCAATGCTACCAATAGTCGAACATTCTTCAATCTTGATACCGGAGAAAATACTTCAA